GGAAACTCTGTACAAATCTTCAGTACAATGTCTTCACTGGTTACATCCTGTACCCCTACATTGCTGCCTAATACACCACCTGGAGAGCCAGGTCACTTCATCTTTCTCATTCCAGGACCTTAAATGGATTGAAATCAAAATACTAGTGTTCACCCACCAGATATAGGTTTGTGATTTATTGTGGGGCAGGTCCCATTGTTTAAGAGCCCCTGCATTAGATTTAAACAAAAAACTACAAAGATGTTTGTTGCTATCACATAATATGTCAAGAAACACAGTTTGTGCATAGTTAGAAGAAAAACAAGAAAATCACTTCTTCAAAGTTATTTCCATGATTAAGATCTAAATCTGTGTCAATAAATTATACAAAGTCTGTCTGTATAAAGATAAAGTGTGAAATTTTTGGGTTATGACATAATAAAAGCTTAGTTGACAGTGATGGCGTGTGTTTAATTTCAGAACTCGTACACACTCACATAGGCAACATCCATGAATGGAAAAAGCAGTGAGAGGTTTTTCTAAAAAATTAGGAAGGATGACAGTGGATCATAACAATGCTGCTGCTACTGCTGATGGCATCTGGCCACGACCCACCTTCAGTTAAACAAACACATGATGTAGGAGCAGATTACACACACATGCACGCACATGCTGTGAGAAATTGGACATACCATTCCAATAGGAAGCTTCTGTGTAGAAGCCAGAAGCACAGGCTGGTGGGTCCATGTTGTTACTTTAAAGCTGGGATGTCAAACTCATTTTACATCATGGACCACATACAGCCCAGTTTGAGCTTAGAAAAGGGAAGTCCTCCAAACTATACATTTAGTTCAAGAGATATCTGAATATGAGAAAAAAGGTGCAAAAAGAGCATTTCTTATCCTACACATGAAAGAAATGCTGCTGTAGTAAATCAAAGGCTTACAACTGGAACTTTTATGTTACTTAATTGTTCATCTAATAATACCAATAACCATGACAGAGGTTTTTATTGCTGTGAAAAGCTGTAAACTTGTGAATATATGATTAATTGTTTAATATGTAGCTACTTCTCAGAGGAGTTTAACTTAGCACAAAGACTGGTAAAACACGAACAGCTAGCCTCTTGTTTTCTTCAGTTTGTACTCAATGCAAGACACACAACATGTTAAGTGTTGCCTGTTTGCATCAGGATCCAGATCCATTATTCTATCAACACATTCTCATCCCAAAGCATAACGTACTGACACTATGTGACAAATCGTTGGTATGTTACTCGTTCAGAAACATGAGAACTATTTGGAATGAATCTACACATGTACATTTATTTTACTTTCTCATCATGAATCACTTTGGAAAACACAATCTAATACGATTGAGGTTAGGGATAAGGTTATGGTTAGGGTCAAGGCTGGAATCCAAGGCTGGAACGTGTGTTACTGCCAGGAGCATCATTCTATTGGACTCCATCCACAATCCATATGGATGCAGAAGGTTACCTTTCACGTTCCTATGTGATGCCTCGGGACGTGACAAATCATCGGTATGTTATGCATTGGGAATGAGAACAGTTTCATTCTATTATCAAACTAAGGTCAAAGTTCATTTCTGACCACAGAAACAGAGATAACAGGCTCACTCATGGCATATTAAATTCCTGATAATGGTGAATATTTAAGCCAGACTGAACAAGCAGCTGCTCCTAATGACACACATTTTATCTAAATTGTTTGCAGACTCTGAAGTGGGTGTTGTTACTGGTTTTTAGACCTTGCGATGAACACACTAACACAAGAGGATGGATCACTAATGCTAGCTAGCTTGTTTAGAAAAGTGCTAATTAGAGACACTCAAATAAAATACTGGAATTTCTCGCACCACAACAGTACAAGCTATGTGATACTGGATTAAAATGCTCCCCTGAATCTGTCTTTACTGTGGAAGGTTTTCACTGTGAGTGAATACACAAAGTTTATCAAAGTAAAACGACGGGGACCACAACAAAAATGCCGATAACAACAAACTTAATGAAACTGACAGATTTTTAAAAAGATATTTTAAAGATGCCAACAAAGGCAAAGTTAAAGCTTTCAATTAGGTAGATAAAAGGCCTGGAGTTGATTTGAGGTGTGGTGCTTGCATTTGGAAGATTTTGCTGTGAACCGACAGCATACGTTCAAAGGAGCTCTCGATGCAGGTGAAACAAGCTATCCTTAATCCTTGAGCTGTGAAAACTGAAAAAAGGAGTGGCAAAGTCTACAGTTTTGTGATTGGTGGATGATCACAGAGTCATTTCCTTGGTGATGAGAAACCCCTTAACAACATGCAACCAAGTGAACAACACTCTCCAGGAGGTAGGCATATAGATAACCAAGTCTACCATAAAGAGAAGACAGCTTGAAAGTAAATACAGAGGGTTCACTGCAAGGTGCAAGACACTCATAAGCCTCAAGAATACAAAGGCTAGATTGGAGTTTGCTAAAAGACATCTAAAAAAGCCAGCACAGTTCTGGGAAACATTCACTGGACAGATGAAATCAAGATCATCATCAGCAAGGCTCACAAACAAACAGCAACTGAAAGCCTCTGCAGTAAAGGCCTGGCAAGCATTAAAAAGGAGGAAACCCAGCATCTGGTGATGTCAATGAGTTCAAGACTTTAGGCTGTCATTGCCAGCAAAGGGTTTTCGAAGAAGCATAACAACAGTATTGAACATTTTATCTTCGGTTATTTCATTTGTCCAATTATTTTAGATCCCTTGAAATGAAGGGATCGTGTTAAAAAAGCATTTTCCTCTAGCATTTTTATGTAAACTTTTTGTTCAACCTGCTAAAATAAGGCTGAAAGTCTGCATTCAATTGCATCTGAGTATTTCATTCACTAATGTACAGAACTGTACTCTTTGCGGTAGCAGAGCACTTTATTTTTAGTCGTTAAAGTGAGAGAAGATCCCAACTTACTGCAGATTGGAGGTTGGAGGAAATTGTATAAATGATATATGATCTCACTTATAGTTCTTAGAAAGAAAAACAAAATATGCAAAACAACCCAAACCTCCCCCCATCAGCCTGTCTCTGATTATCACTACAAACACGTTGGCGATACCAGTCACGCTGAGTTGACTCCCTGCAGACAGCAAGAGGCTAAGTTGGGACCCCATCATTTAAAGCATGCTCAAGTCTGATAACACACAACTTTAAAACTCTATTTAAACAGGTAACATATAAAGAAAAAATCCACACCCTGAAGGGTTAGGATGCAAAATTTAGCACAAGTATTTATTTCTGCTGCAGCTTAGCGTCTTACTTTGGGGTGTATGGGAACTGACTCACTTTTGGAATCAGCTTCAAGTCGTCCTTTTAAGGAACTGGGCACTACCTACTGGGATGGCGCCAAGTACTACTGGGGCTGGGGTTTGGTACAGGGAGTATTACTCAATGAAAAGTCATTTATACAAACATATTACTAGATATGTAAAAAAATACACATGAGTTGGTACATTTTCAAAGGGTGATGCTTACACTTACATAGCACTCTTTTTTAAGAGAAAGATTTTTGTGCTCGAGTGTGAGCAAAGGCGAAAACCACAAGCTGCTAGCTATGTGTTAGCATGCTGTATTTGCAGATGCATGCTAGCAGTAGCTGTCCTGTTGTCAGCAGTTGTTTCTGGCCTGGAAACTGTTTGCGATTTTAGCTGTTTTCCTGCACATTTTTTAGATTTCTATCAAGCCTTAATAATATGACTGCTAGCTTAGTAACTGTAATGTGATTACTCTGCAACACTGAGCACGAAGCACAAAAACCACCAGTACCAACCGCACAGCCATGTGTGGAAGATTTATTCCTACACTGTTGACACGTGCAAAGAAGCACATATGAGACGTTGTTGTGCATTTCTTTTCTGTGTTTGATTCGTTTTTATTTTGCCATTTTACGTCTTCATCTATCAAAGACTAACATACCTCATATCTCATAGTCACTCAATAAAACACTCGATGAAGCACACAGAAACATCTGGCTCTCCTTTTATTTTTACAGCTTATGGAAGCAGGATTAAAGGAGAAGATCAATGTCATGTAACTTGAATATTAGAGTGCTAAAGATGGAAACCAATGATCATAAGACAGATGTTTTGTGACACGACAAAGTGATTGCGACGCAAAGCGATTCATTACTTCTATCAGGTATGTGGACAAAACATAATGTATGACAGCTGGCAGAGTTTATTAAATGTAGTTTAAGAGTGTAACTTTGTCATTGTCAGTATGAATAGATGCTTTGTTTTATGTAGGAGTGGTCTGAACTAGCTTCTCGCTCTGTGATCTGTCCAGCTTCACAGAGAGTTTGTAACTATACGTTTGAATTCTCATATGCACACAGGAGCATCGTGCTGAAATGTGCTTGTACTGGAAAGGAGGTGATGGAAATGTCATGAATGTTTGCGGTGGGATCCATGCACGCACCCTGGACTTACATGGAGCTTTCTGTCTCAAAGTTTGATGACTTTCTCTTACTCCCATCCTGTTTATCTCTCCTCTCCTCCTTCCCTCCTCAGTGTACACAAATGTGGAAATAGTCACTTTTGACACTGCTCAGTCCCTACAGTAGTATAGAACAATACTTTAGTTATTTCCCCCACAACCAATTGTCACTTCCTCTCTTTTCTTTCCACCTCCATCCCATCACCCTTCCTCCCCGCTTCCCTCCAGCCTCTCCCTCCGCCATCTTGCTGTCACTTTTTTTTTTCTTGATGCCACTTTGAACGAAGAGCAATGCGGCGAAACTATTTGGGGAATTCTCGCCGACCAAACCAATGCTGCCGTCTCTCTCCTCTCTGCGTGGAACAGCCGTACCCAAATAAGGCTGGGCGTTCTGACTAGACGTGAGAGGAAGAGACGCAACAGGCAGAGGGAGAGGGAGCTGCTGAAAGGCCATGCCCTTTTAAGGATGAAGTTTCCTTTTTTTCCCTCTCACTCGCCCTCATTCTTGGCTTTCGTTGCTCCCTCCTTCCTCCGCCCTCTCTCACTCTCTCAGTAGAGGAGTGAAGTCATCTGGCCTCATCTGCTCCTTTTAAGCCGGCATTTTTGAGAGGGAGGTCCCTTGCCAAGCATATACAAACACTCAGTCAAGCATCCACACTCACGCCTTCACCAGCGGAGAACTCACCTATTGCTTCACACAGTGAGTATGCTTGTCTTTTTTCCCTTGTAAAACTCCTGGAAGTGATGGTTGTCTGGTTGATGATGGTCAGATGCGGGGTGTTAAATTCATATCAAAAGGAATACATACAGAATATGACTAATTTCATCCTTCGGAGGTCAAAGGGGCTGTTTGCATGAAAAATCCAGGAGCAGATGGGAGCTCAAACATCCATATGCACCAATGGTTTACGACGTATGCAGAGACTATCGGGTTTACTAAAGATTTTTGCGCATTTGACTGAATAAAAGTTTGCAAATATCTGCACGTGATTGAGTACAGCTGCTTATAATCTTCATTCTCTGATTAAAAACTGCTGTACGGGAAGCCTGGTTGTACCGTTTTATATACATACCTTAAAACTTTGTGCAAATAAACTCACCGTTTAACTGTAATGCGGTGCATATCTTATTTGAGGGCTGATATATATATTTTCCCTTAAACTGAAAGGACATAAAAGCCAGACAGCATTTCATATATCTCCACATCTGCATAGTTTTATTTGTACAAGCAAATGATCCACTGCCATACATGAACTTCTGAGGCGTAATGAGTTACAGAGCAGACAGTTACAGCCACTTATATAATGAGGATACAGAGCTGTCCAAAGTTTCCATCTGTCTTTATGAATACATTATGAAGCTGCTGCCTGATGTGGAGCAGCGTTTGGAGAGAAGATAATGAGCAAATCATCAAAGATGGCAGCACACCCAGTGATTCCAGTAAAGCCAGCCAGCAGTAGCAGTGGGAAGGAGGAGGGGAAGGAGTATTAGTGGGTAGCTGAGTTTCTGAACAGCAGCAACAGGAGGAGATAACACTATCTGCGCTGCCAATCCAGGAGCAGTACATAAACACAGCAGAGGTTTATAGAAGCCAGGGACTGATCACGTCTTTGTAAGAGTGCATAGTTGCTGTGAGCCGGACAGCAGTGCTCACATGACACAGTCACTAGAAGTACATCAGCTCACATGTACAACTGTTGTAAAGTTTGTCAGAATGATCAGAACTGCAAAGGGCTTTCAGAAAGTGGCAGGTCGGAGTAAACTTTTCTGTGCCCCTGGAATAAACTGGAAAAATAAAATAAAACCAGCACATCACCAAGCTGGGATGGCATCCTTCAGCCAGATGACTCAGCTGACAAAGTTCAGCAGATTTACGCAAAATACTGACTCTCTAAAAAGCTGAGAAACAAAAGGATAGAGCGTGCGCCGCTTCCACAAGCACCCCACAGCTTATTCATACAAATCATTAGATGGCGGTTAGCTGGTTAACTGTAGAGGAGGCGAGGCTGTCCGATGCCACGTCCTCTCGGGCTGCCGCAGTTGCCACAGCCCTCAAACTGGTTTCCTGTTCTGGCATTAGGCACATTTGCCATGGTGATAGAGAAACAGACGGGGGAAAACACAGGAGAGGGAGAGATGAATGGACTGAGGTGATGAAGTCATGACTGTGGGATAGAGCTCTTTGGGAGTTTTGAGAAGAGGTATTTGAGGCTCGCCTTTACTTCAAATCTGTGGTTTTGGCCATCTTTGGTGATTTTTATTTTTTATTTTTTTTAAATGTTCATACTGCCATATTGCTCTTACACAAAAATCTCCATCCTTTTCTTTCTACAGTACAAAGCATTAGAAGTCGCTATAAATGAAAAGCTCCCCATGCAGCAGAATTAAGCAGAAGCAGCCAGACAGCACAGAAGCTTGTTTAGCAGATATTTATTGGACCTGGGCCGGGTCCCAAACACAACATCAGGCCCCTGGACGCACATAAATACCAGAAATAGAGACTAGGCCTTAATGGATTTACTTAACCTCCAAAAAAAAGATTATATAAGCTTTGTTTGGTTGTTATGCAGTGCACACTTTCTCCTCTTCGTGGTGGGAGAAGGCACTGAGTGCACAGTGTGGTAAAGATGCCGTCTATTACTTTTCCTATTTAAAAAAAGTGTAGCGTGAAGGATTCGTGGTCAAAGCCCACAGAGTGTTTCAGGAGGGCCAGTGTTTAAAAAGAGAAAAAAAAAGGACAGATTGAAATTATACCAGAGACACATTGCTTTGAAATAATAATTATATAATGGCAAATGTCAGGCGGAATAATGAGAGGTATGAGTGTGTGTGTGTGAGGAAGAGATATAATATCTGAACTTGTGGTTGTAAGTAAGTGAGCGTGCTCCCCAGCATGTGTGTTTGGTTTCCTGTGGTCTGGAAAAGCACCACAGAGTATGCAGAGAATATGAAACTGGGCTGGAGGTAACGAGCTCTGGACGTTCTGGGCTGGGAGCCATTCACTTCTTTGGCATTCAGCCTCTAATACGCAGACATGGGGGATATGTACTCGTACAATGGTACAATGGTTTTATTTATCATATCCACGACACCAAAAAAATCCACATGTCTTTTATCCCTTTACCAAACTAAACTAAATAAGTAATTACATTGAAATGTAATGTAAAAATCCATAAAGTACAGCCTATAATCTGCAATTTACATAAACACAGCTACACTGGCTCACTCATCAGCTGCATATCCAGCAACGAGTAGGAGACGGGTGAAATTAAAACTGAAAAAACAAAAACATGGAGCTAAAAGTAGGTTGAATATTCCAAAGTGGGAATGTGCCAGTATTGTGTTTGCACGTTGTTTCCATCACAGGTTTCCATGCCTCACAAATCATTGAGTGAGAAAGAATAAATGAGCAAATGAAAATAAGAGGAATGTGAAAGAAAGGAACGTTTTAAGAAAAAAAGTCCCAACTTTATCTTCTGTCAGTGACCCCTACAGGCCTCTGCTACAGTGGAAAGAATCCAATCAGAAAAACTTGTGCATTGTGTAAAAACAGAACAACAGCATTCCTCACCCTGTGCCAGAACGAGTCGCTACTCCAGCCAGAGGAGAAGTTTAACCTTTTCAATGTTTCGACTTTAAACCTCTCCAGGAACAGGGAAGTTGACGTGACCTGACATCAAGATGGCAACAAAGGTTGGATGGTGCAGACAGCACTTTGATATGAGTTTTTGCACTCATTTGCACTCATTGGCACTCATTGGCTGTTGGCCCAAAGGCAATACAGAAGCATAAAATGGAGAAAAAAAAAAACAAGTGCTGGCTGTATGTGTGTTTGTGCGTTGGTGCAAAGCAAAACCCAAAAAAAAAGAGAGAGGGAGGAAGAAAGAGTGTGTGTGTGTGTGTGTGCTGGCATTACAGAGGAACATATGCAAAAATCAGCTGGCTGATAGCGAGCTCCCTCTGCACACCGTCCATCCTGACGGGGCTGAATGGTTTGCACTGGGAGACGCAGCACTGTTACTGCTGGTGCTCCTGGGAAGGTTTATAATTGTACTGAATGCTGAGCATTTACGCTTCTATACACGCTTCTGACATGCATGGTGTTAATGTTTGTACTGGTGTATCATGATTACAGCATATAGTCAGGAGGAGGTGTATGCGTGTTCCCGAGTAAATGTGGCTTTATTTAAATTCTTTGCACAACTATGCATGTTTCTGCATATGCTTTAGACTCAACCTAAATGATACTGCAGTGCAAACATGTGAGCTGCTAAAAGCAACTATGAATGGAATAGGTATAAACGTATATGCAAGACAAAGATAGAAGTGACAATATTTGATAAAAAGAGATCACAGGTAAGACTAAGATCAGAGAGACTGAAATCCCCATCATTACGTGACATCAAGGGATCATAACTACATTAGCCCTTTTTCTTTGACGGCATGTATTTCTCGTTCATTTCCATCCTTCACTTCACTTCTCTCGCCTGCCCCAGGGTGCCGGCATGGCTAACAAAGGTCCATCCTACGGCCTGAGTCGGCAGGTCCAGGACAAGATCGACAGCAAGTACGACCCAGAGCTGGAGCAGATCCTGGTGGAGTGGATCAGCCGTCAGTGTGGATCTGGTGTGGGGAAGCCAGAGCCCGGCAAACAGGGCTTCCAGGCTTGGCTCAAGGACGGATGTGTGAGTGCACAAGCTGCCCGGATGTTTTCTAATAGAAATTGCTTTAAGATAAAAATCTTTTATTTGTGCTTCTCCTTCCTTTCTTCTTCCCTTTAACTGCCCTCCCTTTTCTACTCTCCTTTTTGGTTTCATTTTTTTTCTCTCCAGGTCTTGAGCGAGCTCATTAACAGTCTGTTTGCCGGCGAGAAGCCTGTGAAGAAGATTCAGAGCTCGCCCATGGCCTTCAAGCAGATGGAACAGATCTCCCAGTTTCTCAACGCTGCCGAGAAATACGGCGTCACGAAGACCGACATGTTCCAGACTGTGGACCTTTGGGAAGGTCAGACAGGTTTCATGCTCTCAGGATTGTTTAATAGTGGAGGGTTTAGGCACTTGGATTGTATGGTGCAACCATAAATGTTTTTTTGTTAATGAATGTGGCCACCACGTGTTATTTTCAGAGTGTTGCCATTAGAGGAGGTGGTCATTAGAGGAACAGCAGGTTTTAGTTGTTTCCACATATTGGTTTTAGTTTTCAGAGATTGATATTTGATATTTTGACTGGTGCTGTTGTTAATATGGTGTGTTGGGACAGGTAAGGACTTGGCAGCGGTGCAGAGGACCCTGTCAGCTTTGGGAAGCTTGGCCGTTACCAAGGATGAAGGCACATACAAGGGAGACCCCAACTGGTTCTTCAAGTGAGTCCTCTAAAATTAAACGGAGCCCTGTTAACACAATGACTCCGGCACCTTTTTGTGACAATTTTCAATGTTGCATTGCAGGAAGGCACAGGAGAACAAGCGAGACTTCAGCGATGAGCAGATGAAGGCTGGCAAAAATGTGATTGGCTTACAGATGGGCTCCAATAAGGGAGCCAGTCAGGAGGGCATGAGCTACGGAAGACCTCGACAGATCCTGTAAAGTCACTGAGCCGCCAGTGGAAAGGGCGCTCACTGCAGAGCCACTGGCTTGGTCCAACTCCATCTCCAGGTCCAGCCATGCCACCATCCTAACTCCAACTTCAGAGAGATGGAGCTAAACCTGTTGTCTGCAGCGAGCAGCACTTGCATCAGTACCCCAAACCTCTTTAGCCCCTCTTTTAACCAAAACCTCTGGTGCTTTTTACGATCTCTTACACCCTTTGGTCCTCCTTAAACTTAATAACTGTCACAGAGCCCTTATTTACATGCTCGCACTGGTGATCAATGCAGGGTTCAACTATGCTTTGTCTTCGGACCAGTAACAACTGAATGTTTGTAGTCTTAAGCTGCAATTGTAGCCATGAAAAATGACCAAAAAGTGTCTTGTTAAACCAAACAAAAACCTTTCACATACCAAAAGTTGATCCGGTCTTTCCTTCGATAAGGAACTCGTGTTGCATCTGCCTCCCTGAATTTTGATGGGTTCTGACAGAAATACGAATTCGTTTACATGCCGTAAAGCGTTCTTCTCAAATTTACAAGCACAACCATGTTGCACCAATGCTCCTCATTTTTACTGCTACCGTGTCAAGTACACGTCCCACATCGCTGCGCCTGCTGTATCAGCGCTCATATTTTTGTACATTGACTTATTAAATAATGACTTTGAAATACATCTCCGAATTGACTTTGTGTTTCCAGCTCTTTAAGGGTTCCCTTGTTGGAAAATGGGGTGGGATCTCTCCTACTAATATTTCAAACAACCCACGCACCAACATGCATCCATGCATGTTTATATGACCCAGATTAAGAATACATTGCAACGGGGAACACTTATCACATTTTTATCTGTAGGCGTGTAAGCGTCGACATAAAAGAATTCAAAAATGGGAAAGTCTTATTTTACGGGAAAACAGTCGTCTTCTGGCAGTTCTGAGATCTGACATTCCCATTGGTTAATTTTTCTTTGTTTTTGCTTTACTTTGTATCCATGCTGTTGTTTGTGTTCAGTGCAAGTTAATGTTGCAACTGTTACCATAATAGACTTTAAAAACCTCTGTAACCATACCCAGGATTGTTTCAGATTACCTTGAAATGTAGTCAGTTACTCAATTCAAATGACTTATTCGATTAAAAAAATGTGTAAAACCACTCAACACATACATTTACCATACCAGATTAATTTATACAGGTGACTTACTGGAGGTGTGTGCTTGTGTGAACTTGGTTTTAAAACTATTTTAAAAGTACAAAAATCAGTCAAAGAGAAAACTTAATCAAGCATTGTTTATTATCACTGAACTTGCCTGTGACTTGCACAGTAATGGTTTTCAATATCACTCCAAACACTGTTTACATTAAAAAAATTATACTTCTTTAATAGTCTTTAAAAAAAAAAAAGCACTGTAAAAACACCATCAGCATAGTACATCTGTACAGCAGGCACATTGTCTATATATTATACTTTATTAAAAAATTGATTTGCAAATCCCACAATGCAAAAATCCCATTTCAAGTTTGTATTTTTCTTTTATTTGTAAATTCTCAGTAGTAGATAAGCCACAGAAAACAACACCAGGCTTAAAAAAATAAATGCATAAAGGAATTTCCTCAAAAAGCAATCTTTTTATTGAAATACAGTACCCACTTGAAGCCTCACATTTTACCATAGGTCACTTTTTCCATGGAAGACCTTGCATATCACAAACACAATCGCTCAGGTTACACCACACACACACACTTTCACACCTGTTTTTTTTTTTTAAGTGCACATCTCAGTTCTTCCTTCCACAGGTGTATTGTATCCTATCAAGCTCTTCTTTGAGGTTACATTTTAAACATATGAGCAAATGAACACTTTCACACATGTAATTAAACCAGGAACCCTGTTAAGTCCATCTGATGGTCATACCAAACCTGTGCATTAACTTACTTTACAGGAATTTTAACCTTCGTACCAAATTTTTCTTCCATGTCTAAAGAGATCGCAGAAAAAAAATGTGATCACCTTTATTAAGGGGATGTGCACAAGCCACACACCTTTGCGTGCAGCACAAACACACTGAAGGCCACTCTTAAGGGGAATGCAAAGAAGGACAAGAGTGCACTGGTTTGACCCTCCAACACCACTGCTGGAAGCTGAGTGTGGAAGGCTAAGTTGGTGAGTGGCAAAATGAAGGTGTAAGCCTGAGAGGTCCTATAAGGACTAACAGTGTGATGGTTTTAGCCCTTAATCTGGCTCAGTGCTATGTTGCCAGCCATTCTCCACTGGCAAGCGGCTCTTTGACATCAGAGTCCAGCACAGCCTGCAACTCCACCCCTGAGTCCTGCTCCTCATCCCCAATCAGTGCCTCCTCCACTCCTTTCCCTTGTCGCCCCCTCCTGTGACCACCCTGTCTCCTGGGCAAGCAGAGAAGGACCCTGAAGTCTACGTGGGCCATCATAACCTCCAATGTGTAGTAGAGGGACCAGAAGAGAGCAAAACAGCCAAGCAACAGCATGAACTGGAAGAGGAGGAGGACACAGGTTATAGAAACAAGGAATGTAAATCACCACAGGAAGAGTCAATCAGTGATGGCTGAATGTGCTGGTAAAGTGCAAAGGAAGGGAGCTGATAAAGAATGGAAAAGGAGAAGGAGCACACACACCTAAAGGTTAGCTGAAGGGTTAATTAATCAATACTCGATTTGTTTTATACCCTTTTCTCCAGGGGCTCACAGATTTTAGTTACCCTCTCACATGTCCACCATCCTACTGCTAAGTTAAGTTACGCACATCTTAACTAAATAAGAAAGATGAAGGCCTGAGGATATATTTAATCACTGGAGACTTTATGATAAACACTTCCCTGATTGATGGTTAAAACCATGAAAGTTGTACAAGAAACATGTTAAAAAACAACAACAAACACACATCACCTCCCCAGGGAGAAAATGAACACAGTCCGCAAAGAACTCAAAAGACTGAAGCACACAGTGGGCAACAGCATGGTAACCATGACGCGGCTTGTCTGAGTGTGCAACGTAAACGCCGCGCTGTTTACCTTGAGGTTGTTGGATGTGAAGGGCTTGGTGATTTCTGGAGGCAGGTCCAGGCCTGGAGGGCAGGGCAGAGAGAAGTTGCTGTGCAGATACTTCCCAGTCATTGCCTCCTCCACCAGCCTGTCAATCGATGCACAGCCCATCAAACTCACAGAACATCTTCCTAAAAATCACATGTTCACTCCAAACATCTGCGCAAGTGTTATGCCGACTGTGTATCGGTTCTTGCCTCTGTCTTTCCTTGACCTCGCTGAACAACATAGATGAACCATACAGAGTCAACTTCCTCTCCTTCAGCACTCCCACAGCGGCACACTGGACAGAAGATTCATCTTCTACAGAAAAAGTGGAGTGAGGAGGTCATGATGAAGAGTCAAACAAATAAAAAAATTTAAAAACCCAAACAAGTCAAGCTGTAAGCAGGGCAGAAACTCACTGTGGTCAGAGATCTTGAGGGTGTAGAGGCCCTGGGCTCTCTCTCCCCAGCAGCGCACAGTGGAGAAAGTCCAGTCCTGGTAGCCTGCATTATCTCTATGAGCACAAAACACACACAGCTACATTAGACTGCAGCACAAACAATTTTCAGTGCAATCTTGAGATACATTAGAAACCTTAAACGTGAGTACGTTTTACAATTACCATTTTCCGTAAAGTGTTGTTTTACAAAGCTCAAAGACAGAAACTACCTGTCGATGGCACGGCGAGCCCCGATGACTGATGTCATACCGCTGGGGCAGATCAACACGAACTCCACGTTGCCACGGCAAGGATGGATGACTGTCACGGTCACGGCCACATGCTCCAGGGTCTCCATTCCAGATTGTCTCAGGTCGGCAGCAGAGACTGATGGAGAGGAGACAGAGCGGCTCACACTGTTTGTATGTTTGACAGTTTGACCCTTTATTCTAACCTGGTAAACAATGAAGAGTATGTGAATATGCTTGAAATCATTCAGAATGCATGTTTCTATTTCAGGGCTCACTAGCGTCATTTTAAGTGCTGCTTCACAATACGGCGGTGATAAGAATTCAATTTTCTACTCGTCCTATTATTTACAAAACTTTATTTCAGTAAAACTTCTTTGCTGCTGTTATGACAAAGCAAATAACATTTCCTTTAAAAACAATTAGAGTTTAGCTAATGAATGAAATCAGTCCTAATCTGGAGAGACTTTAAAACAGAGCAAATCAATAAAAACCACTCTATAATTTCAATCTTCCCTCAAACGTGAATCTGTTATCAGTGAGTCTTCCTGACCACCTCTTGCCCTCCCAGTGCGAGTGTCTGGTAATTTCTTGGTATTTCCTGGGCTCTGAGTGCTAATGGGCCATGGCTCTATCTGACCATGTAGGGCTGAACACATCCTCGGGGCAGGGAAGGACGCAGAGGGCCCAAGGAGAGAGGAGGAGACGTGTAAACAGAGGTGTGGACGGTAAGATGGAGAGGCATGGGACAGATGTAGAGAAAAAGGGAGGGGCAGCAAGGACAAGGAGACACATGGAGAAGAGGAAAGTAAGAAGGAAAAGAAAGCAACTGTAGAGGGGAAATGAAATAAAGGACAAAGAAGAAGCTTGGAGAAAGGTTTTAAATGCTAGAAGCTCTGACAGCTCAGAGCTCAAATCAACTTCAGATTTTGGAAGATTTTCCATGAATGCACTGGTCTGGCAGTGGTTTTCACTGGAAATTTTAAGGAAACCTGATATGCATTCAATAAACAGGGTGCGGGGGTGAGTGCGTAATAAACTCGAGACAGCACGCTGCTGACCTGTGCTCATAGCTCAAGAAGGGAAGACACATGAAGATGAAGATGTATCCTGGGATAAAAGACTGCATGCTTTTCTAAATAAGCAGATGATGGTTTTTTTTATATCTTTGTCATTGGGCTGGTCATGAGCTTTAGGCCAAACTAAATAAATTCAGTGTAGAGTTATAAAAATGATGTAAGATTGTTGAAACTTTTTTTTTCAATCCCAACTTTTGTCTGAGATGACAGGTTTGAGTATACCACACAAACCAACTCTGCTAAATGACTGCTCTGGGTTAGAATGTGATGACGCAGCAGCTGTGAGCTTTTACCATCGTGTTTCTCTTTTACAACTAACTCACTGGCATTCCTTCACCTCGCAGCAACCTAAAACCTCTATTCTTCACAGGAACGTGAGACTGCGAGCTCCCACACATCCTCTCTCCCTCAGAAAAGTCAAACTCAAGTTGTCTGTAAACTAACGTCACCCACTCGCCCTGAGCTGGGCTGATGAAACCTGATGTGACTGGCCATGAACAGGTCAGAGCAAGTTGCAGCGTGCGCTTACAAGTGGAGAAAATGTTCACATGGGAAGAAGAAATTTTGAAAAGCTAAAGGGGGCGTGTTAGTGAGTCAGCCAAAACACATAGAAACTACCACAACAAACCCCGAGTAGTGTGACGGGCAGGTCTGAACAGCGTCAGTGGTGAAGAAAAAAAGAGCCCCAACCAATACTGACTGAAACGACGCTTAAAGGAGAAAATGTGGAGTACAGCACCTCTTTAACAGCAGCTCTTTGTGCGCACACACACAGACGCACACACATCTGGCTGTATTCCTGAAATCAACAAGCCCATAAAAGAGGGAAGATACAGATCGAGGGAGGAGAGGAGGAGATGAGGGAGAAGGAAATGTTTCTGCTAGAATGAGGTCACCATATGCGAAAAAACTGTACAAGGGAGAGATTACATACACAGATAGCTGAATGTGAGAGATTCAGAGCGGTAAGAAGTGATGAAGGAACAAAATGAATAGTGAGAAATGTTAAAGTAGTTATATCAGAAAAAAATTGAAGAAAATGGGGAAAAAAACCTGCAAAGAAATCTGGAAAAATAATTTCGCCAAGGGAACTCACAAACAAAGAGAACATTACCAAATATGGACAAGCAGCCTGTCTGAGGAGCAGGCAGGCAGAGAGGGAGGGGCAGAGGGAGTTAGCTACATGAGTGCAGTGCGTAAACTTGACAAGTAAATGTCCAGTACAGAGCTGAGAGAGAAGAGTAGACACTGAGGCAGGGTTACCTTCCCAGGTAAGGACGAGCTCATCGGGATAGATCACAATGGGGGTTTCCTCCTTTATTACAGAG